ACCTTAGGTGTATGTGGCTGGTGCCTTAGCCACTTGAGCCACAGGCGCCGAGCCATAAGTAGAAATTTTAATATTTTCTTTTCCATTCCACTTATCTATCTACTCCTGGATATGTGCCTCAAATTAAAGACTACTACTTTGTAATTTCTACTATATACTGAGCCTCACCTATAGTGAACAGTCATTATCTTGAGCTCAAATCATGTGTTTTATCATTACCATCAGATTCTCTGGTTTCATCGTGCTATGGACTGAATTGTGTCCCTCACCCCCAAATTCATATACTGAAGCCCTAACCTCATGTGACTGTGTCTGAAGACTGGGTCTTTAGGAGGTTATTAAGGTTAAAGGAGGTCACACAGGTGGAGACCTAATTGGATAGAACTGTGGCCTTATAATCAGAGGAGAGGAGATTCCTGCTCTTCCATCCCCTACCATCGTCATGTAAGGACATAGAGAAAAAGGTTCAGTTTACAAGCTAGAAAGATTACCTTAACCAGAATCTGACAAGGCTGGCACCCTGATCTCAGACTTCCAGCCTCCAGAACTGTGAGAAAATAAATACCTGTTGGTTAGGTTCTCTGTCTGGGGTGTCTTGTTATGGCCTCCTGAGCTCAGACAGACTGCCTGCCTATTCTGATATTTACTAACTTTGCCCTTGGGCAAGTCACTTAACCTTTCTGTGCTCAGTTTTCATAATCTATAAATAGAGATTAAAATAGTATCTACCTTGCTAGATTGTTATGAGGAATAAAGAAGTTAATATATGTATGGTTCCATAGCTGTAGCACAGTGGTTATGGCGCACTGTGGGCGCCATACGCCAAGGCTGGTAGGTTCTAACTGGGCTTGGGCCAGCTAAACAACAATGACAACTACAACGACAACGAAAAAATAGCCAGGTGTTGTGACGGGTGCCGGTAGTCCCAGCTGGGAGGCTCAGGCAAGAGAATCGCTTAAGCCTAAGAGTTGGAGGTTGCTGTGAGCTGTGAGGCCACTGTACTCTACTGAGGGCAACATAGTGAGACTCTGTCTCAAAAAAAAAAAGTTAATATATGTAAAATACTTAGAACAATGATGGGGCACTGTAAGTGCTGTAGGTGTGAGCTATTATTATTATATATCATTATATCTAAATAAAGAAATCAAGGCATAAAATAGCTCAGTAACTTGGCCCAAGACCAGGAGGATAGAATCCAGGCTTAACATCCATGATCTCAAGTATTCTGGTTACCCACCAAGAAGCAAGATTTTTTGGCTCATGTAACCTTTTGACTTAACCAAATTTTCAAGTCTTCCTCACAATATAAACAAATGTCACCAACTCAGAGAGTACTGGTCTAAAGTACATAGATTCTTTCTTTTTTTTTTTTAATTGAGACAGAGCCTCAAGCTGTCCCCCTGGGTAGAGTGCGGTGGCATTGCAGCTCACAGCAACCTCCAACGCCTGGGCTCAAGCGAGTCTCCTGCCTCCGCCTCCCAAGTAGCTGGGACCAAAGGCGCCCGCCACAATGCCTGGCTATTTTTGGTTGCAGCCATCATTGTTGCTTGGCAGGCCCGGGTTGGACTCGAACCCGCCACCTTAGGTGTATGTGGCTGGTGCCTTAGCCACTTGAGCCACAGGCACTGAGCCAAGTACATAGATTCTAAACAAAGTTCTCAATGACTTCTAGGGGTCACAAGGAGAAAGCAAATACCAAACATCATTCTCTACAGGCTAATATGAGTGACAGCACCTCTCTGTCACTTCAACCTTACTCTAGTAAGCTTCAACCTTACTCTAGTCTATCTGAATGTAGAACTGTCCTCACCTTTTTTTTCTTGAGACAGAGTCTCACTATGTCGCCCTTGGTAGAGTGCTGTGGCATCATTGCTCACAGCATCTTCTAAGTCTTAGGTTTAAGGGATTCTCTTGCCTCAACCTCCCAAGTAGCTGAGACTATAGGCACCCACCACAATGCCGGACTATTTTTTGGTTGTGGTTGTCATTGTAGTTTGGCAGGCCTGGGCTGGGCTAGAACCCGCCAGCTCTGGTGCATGTGCCTGGAGGCCCTAGCCACTTGAGCTAGAGGCACCAAGCCTGTCCACACCTTCTGACACCATCAAATCTGGAACAAATTTATATTTTCTTGGATTCTCCCCCACATCACCCAACCAAACATAGCTCAGACACTCTAATAGGTTCTGACACATTTACTGAAATGCCTTTAGCTCCCCATAGTGTGTATTTTCTCTGACTGTAATTAGTAATAAACCTAACTTGCTCAACTACGGGTATGTGCCTAGCTGTCTTTGGCTGGAGAGCACTATCTTCAAAATGTGTCCTAGGGATAGACTCTGGACTTCAGAATTCCCATTCTTCACATCTCTTTATCTCCCCACACCCCCATCTTAGATTCCTTACCAGTCCCCACTCCAGAGACCCTCCTTTGAAGGCCAATAACCTAAGATCACTGCATATAATACACTTTGCAGTTAAGAGCTGCTCTCTAGGTATGATCTTGGGCAAGCTGTGTAATGAGCTTCATTTTCCCCTTCACCTGATCTTAGCCAAAAGGCCGAGAAGAGATTTATTTTCCTCTTAATGATAGTACTTTCATACTGTTAATAAATGAGTTAATAGTATTTGTAATATTATTTAGTTAAATATGTAAAGCACTTACTGCATTCCTACATATAGTAGTAAAAGATCAATATGATATTTGGTTTTGTATCGCAAATAAAGACCCCTTCTACCTCTTGCCCCTTCAGTCTTTGTTCCTCTGAGATTTTGACTATTCCCCTGTCTCCATCTCCTCTTTTGTGAACAGGGCAGAAGCCCATCTAGTCTCTTGTTCTGGGAGTGGGAACAGTATCACCCGGATTCTTGATGATGCTTTGTGGCCTATGGTCACAATCTATTGATGTGTTTGGCAAAAAAATAGACAAAAGGAATATTGCTTCAAAAATTAATTTTGGAGCCAAATACATTTGGCACTTGAATTGTTTTTTGGTACAGATATTTCAACAAAATGGATTCCTTTTTGTTTAATGTGTTGTAGGCCTGGTATAGATACAGCTTTTACAAATTTAGGAGAATTCTAGGTACCTTTTGATCTCATCCTGTTGCTTCCAAGAAAGCTCCTTCACTAACAGATGCTCTTCATGAAGTCGAAAGAACCTGTCCTCCAAGTCTTCCCAGCTCATCCTGCTCAAGGGTGGTGGAGTTTTTATATTCTTACCTAAAGTCCCAGGAAAAAGTAAATGGAGAATATTTTTACACGTAATTTTATTAACCCTTCAATTCTCTCATCACATCTTTCTCTGGATAGAATGCCATGGCCTCATAGTTCATAGCAACCTCGAACTCTTGGGCTTAAGTGATCCTCTTGCCTCAGCCTCTTGAGTAACTGGGACTACAGGCACCCACCACACGTCGGTGGCTATTTTTAGAGACAGAGTCTCACTCTAGTTCAGGCTAGTCTTGAACTCCGACACTCAAGCAATCTACCTGCCTCAGCCTCCCAGAGTGCTAGGATTACAAGCGTAAGCCAACTCACCCGGCCTTCTCATAACATCTTATCCAGAGAGAATGAATCTATTTTGAGTCAAGTATTTAAAAGAAGATTCAGGAAGTATCTGAGGTAACTACTAATGGAGGCTCTTTTTGTTTACAACCTTCTAGCTTGAGTCATGACTCAACATCTTGTCTGGAAAGTACTTTTGTTTTTTGGGGGGGTTTTTTTGATGTAGAATCTCACTTTGTTGCCCTTGGGAGAGTGCCGTGGCCTTACAGCTCATAGCAACCTCAAACTCTAGGGCTTAGGCGATTCTCTTGCCTCAGCCTCCCAAGGAGCTGGGACTACAGGTGCCCGCCACACACCCGGCTATTTTTTGGTTGTAGTTGTCATGGTTGTTTGGCAGGCCCGGGTTGGGTTCAAACCTGCCAGCTCCTGTGTATGTGGCTGGCGCCCTAGCCACTGAGCTATAGGTGCCAAGCTAGTACTTTTATTTTTATTTTATTTATTTATTTAGCAGTTTTTGGCCGGGGCCGGGTTTGAACCCACCACCTCCGGTATATGGGGCTGGTGTCCTACTCCTTGAGCCACACGTGCCGCCCCTCTGTTGCCCTGGGTAGAGTGCCATGGCCTCATCACAGCTTATGGCAACCTCAAATTCTTGGGCTCAAGCCTTCTTGTTGCCTTACCACATGAGGCTGGAACTACAAGCACCCACCACAACCCGTAGCTAGTTTTTCTGTTTTTAGTAGAGACAGGCTGGTCTCCAAATCCTGAGCTCAACCAGTCTATCTGCCTTGGCCTCCCACAATACGAGGATTACAGGTGTTAGCCACTACACTTGGCCTGACTTCTTTTATATTTTTGGTTATGTTGTTTCCAAATTGATCAGACTCTCCACACAGGTAATTCCTGCACAGGAGTTTCCTGTCACTAGTTCTATGATTTTTCCAACCTGGAAAATTATCTCAGTCAGTTCACGTTTCAAGGACTTTGTTTATGGAACACTTAAAACTTTGAGAAGAAAAAAAAAAAA